CTTTTATAGTAAACATCAGTAGAGAGAGCCATTACTTACAGTGATAAGTACAACAAGGAAACAGGCTTGGTAATCATAATCACTTTGTTGTTCAAGGTGGAGTAGTAAGCCATATGGATTGTTGTTAATGCTATCAAGGAATTCTGAGATTGGGGTTCACAAGACCAAATAATTAAGATATCATCCACCTATTTGGTATAAAGCAAAATCAGGTGCTCAAATTCAAAAAGAGCTTCTTGCTTGAAATGTCCTACAAAGAGCTCACATAGGTAACCTATGTGAGCTCTTTGTACCTGAAGTGGAGCTACCCATCAATACACTTTTAGTTTGGAGTTATGTGGAGCTCTCAAAGATGAAAAAGGAGGAATGACAAATGATGTGTGCTAAGTCCAAGATTGTAGAATGATATTTGTCCAATTGAGTAATGTTGGAAAGGTGAAAATTATGAAATTCATAGAAGCAAGGTTCAATTTTGATAAAGGAAAAATCAGCTGAAAATCACATACCATGAAGTAAATTTGTCACTGTGTAGCAATGTACCATAGACTGTGAGTAAAGGACTAGTAATTATATGTGAAGATTGTTGGAAGTTCACCTTAATAAATTGATTAAGAATTCTCTTGACATAACTTGAAGGTGAAGCAGACTTTTATGACTATGTAAATTTGTAATTTTCAAATGTATATAATTTCAAACTTGCTCTCTATTCTATTCATTATATTCCATTCTAGAACTTGGAGATGGCCATTGTACAAGGTTGAATCATTTGTTCCGTTAATAAACATTCCATTTTTACTGGATTTAAGAGCTTTTTGGTATTAATTTTAGTAAATACATCCAGTTTTGGAGTTTTTTTCATCTTTACTGAATTAAAAAAATAATCGATTATTATTATGAGAATAAAGTGCTAACAAAAACAGTGCCTTTTAAATGAATAGATTATACTTAGATTTAGATTAGATAGATTAAACTTGAAGATATACAAATAATAATTGACTAAAACTTACTAACATACACTTTATGATACACATCGTTGTGTAATTTTGATTTTAAATATTTAATGTTTATATTTTGGAAACTGCATTTAACAAGTATAACAAAGCAAAAAGTTTGTTTTATTGAAATATTGATTTCTAAAGAGATGAGTTATTTATGTAATAAAATGATAAGTATAAAAATATCAATATCAGCAAATATAACTCATGGTATCCAAGCATATATTAATATCTGCTAAACTTTTGCTCTTATTTATTAAACTTTTGGTAGTCAATATTTAGCTTTAGGTTTCTTGGATAATCATTTGTATCTTAGCTCTTCTTCCTTCTTTTCTTCTCTTTTCTATGTCTCATTTTGTCAATAATTTAATTTATTCATAAATGGGCATTAGGTTTAGTCTACAAAAGTTAGATATAAATTTTGCTTTAAAGAACTTTGTGAAAAAATTGATTGAAGACTCACAAGCTTGAGAAGAAAGTGGTATGTTTTGATTTCCAGCTTGCTGTGAGTACATAGTAGGTGTATGTTTCTTACTTTTTTCTTTAGAGTTATGAAGATAATTAAAATTATAGGTATAAAATTTAAATGAATGTTATTCCAAAAGGACATTAAATCTGAAAATATATTATAAAACTCATAAATTTTTTTAGAGGCATATATTAAACACTTAAAAAAAAGAAATTTCATTTCTTCTCTTTTAATTTATCTTTATTTTCTCTTTAAATTCTGTTTGTTGAAACAATTATTTGATAGAGTATAGTTTTATCAATAAAATACATTCAATTAAAATTATTATTTATGATAATTTTAGAAATTATTTTGCAATTTAGTTTATTTTAATTAATACATTTAGTTACTTATTATTATTGTAGTTGTTGTTATCTTTGTTATAATATATTATCACAATACTTTTCATTCAGATTTTATTCCATGTTTGATATAAATGAATTATAAATTACTTCCAGCATCCTGATTCCGAACCATTACAGGTTGATGAAGCTGTTGTGCAGAAATTACATAGTTTCTTCCCTCAGGTGGACTTTGATCATATACGTAGTTTATTAAAAACGTAAGTAATTTGTTTATAATTATTCAAAAAGTACAGTGAAATTCCATTAACATGGCATCGTTGGGCCCAACGTGGTACTAGGTTATCAAATATGCTGACTTATTGGACGATGGAGTTTTTTCTGGTTTTTTCAATTCCCTGGACACAATTTTACATATCTTTGCATGTAAAAATTACAAATCTGTCTTTTATAATTATTTAACACATCATTTCAAATTTTCCAGATTATTTCTACTCTTTGTTGGTTTGAAACAGTTTTAAAACACATTAATCTTACTTTGTGCTTTGTATACTTTTATCTGTATATACTCTATTCTATATCTATAACTATATCTCTTTCTATATACCTATATTCTGTACATTTTACACATTAAATGCAAAATGTTATGTCACTGTTAACCAAAACTAAAACTTTACAAAGAAGTGCTATAAATAGAGACTCAACTTTGACTGCCTGGATGAAATATATCCAAATCAATTAAGATGGACAAGTACTTTATTCACACTTTTTGAAATGTCATGTTTCAATTAATTTGACTTTGATTTTAATTTAATTTTAAATTTAAATTAAATATTTATAAATTTAAGTATTATTTATAGGTTTAATTGACTGGCTACCTAGTTGCATATAAATACAAATGAATACCCAATGCACTGATACTCCCTCCCCAAAAACAAGCTGGACATTTTGCCTTATCAGTTTGCCAGCATACCAGATGCTGTGTTAATGGAATTTCACTGTAGTTGTTATACAATGTTTAAATTTTATATAGGTTTGCTACTTGATAAAATGCATTCTCCATATCTATATATGAAAATTTTTAGCACTGATAAGTAAAAAACTTCAATATAGTAATTTCAGTTTTGGAATTTATTTATTCTGCACATTTTTTATTTTTGATTATTTCAAATATTTTAATTTATTTAATTAAGTAAGTATTTTGGTCATTAAAAAATAGCTGTTAATGAAATTTCTTAAGCTAAAAGGGAGTTTACATTTATTAAGCATTAAGATTAATCAATTACTATATTATTGCTTATGTAATATAGTGTTTGAATGTGATTTTGGGAATTTTACTATCAGACAGTGATATTTAAAATATTTTCATTAAAAGTTTTCTATAATAATAATTTGTATTTCTGTTGTTTTATCAGAAGTTTTATAGTCTTAGCATATATTATATTAAGCGTATTGTATACCAGTCTGTATATCATTTTATTTTTTATGTGAAAATGTAGAATACATAGGTTATACATTAAATCTTAGTTAAGATGATGATATAAATTTTTATATTTGTGAGCAATTATCCATTGCAATACTTTCAGTAATTTTTATTTTCATTTTCATATCAGCCTTCTTTGAATCCTAATACATCCCCTCTAAATTCTATTACTATTTTATTACAAATAAAAAATATTATAACATTTTTATTGTAATAAAACTAAGCTAAAATCACCAATATAATATCAGATATTTTAGTTATTTACACAAGCACTTAAAAGAGGTTTTTTGACAATTAGCACATCTGCAATACCCTTCTAACAATTAATAGAGACTAGGAATCACTCAGATATGTATTTTAACAAATTATTTTTATTATATGCATTTCAAATCAGTAACTGCTGAACTTTCTTCCATCTACCAAAATATAAAAAACTATTTACAAAATACAATGATTAATTTAAAAAATTACAAATCTAAAAACTTACATAGATGTAATTTATAACAAATGTAGTAATAGGATGATGTGGTAATAGAACTGAAATTTCTATTACTGGAATTCTTATGTTAGAACAAAATTCAGATATTGTAATAGAATAAATTTTTGAAATTATAAACATGTACTGTACAGTAGCATATTTGTTAAATTTCAAGTAAAAAAGAATATAAAATAATTTTAAGTTTTGTATAAAATTAAGTGATTCTTGCCAAAATAACCAATTTAAAAATAAAAATAATTAAATAAAAGTAATAAATGTTTATTAAGTAAATTTCTATAAAATGTTAATACATAGTTACTTGTTTACTTAACAAAGTATAAGTTCATTCAAATTTTTTTCCTTTTATAGGAAAAAAAATTGAATGAACTTAATGCATAGACTATATCCAAACATTTTAAATTTTATCTATATATTGCATATTAAAGATATTACAATATTGACTTAAAATATAATATATATACATACAACATACTCAATTCTGACATGCCCTTTTTTACCCATTTTTCTTGTATTAAGTAGAAGTACACATTAGAATCAACAGTATCTTATATTCACAATACAAAATAATTCATTAGTTCATCATATGGTATGTTATTCCCTGGTAATAGACATTTTTGGCTATACTCACAATGTTCATTAGTTTAAATAAGCTTTGCTGGTAATGGCTGTTTAATTAAAACTCTTTTAAAATTTAAAATCTTTTCAAGATGATAATACAACATACACGGAGAAAGAGTAACTAAATATTACCTATTTTGTGATGTTTGTATTATTTTTGTTTCTTACTTAACAAAACTTAATAATAATGATTACTTAAGAATTTTTTTTCTCTACAAATATCTTAAAATTTGAATTCAAATTCATAGTACATCTTAGAATTGGGGAAATAATACAGTAATCATTCTAAAATTTTTATTTGGATATTATAATTTAATTTTTTTAGTCAAAAGAATTATTTTCTACACTAATACAATAGTTGGTTGGAGTGTAAGTTATGTTTAGTTTCATAATTTTATTATTTTAAAGTAAATACTTTATAGCAAGGCCAAAATTTTTTCAAATGAACTACCAGGTTAATTCCATAACATTCTCATTTTAGCCCAGTTGCTTTAACAATGCACATAAAAGCATTTTATTACTCTAAAATATATGTGTGTTTCTAATTTTATGATTATTTTTTTAAAGTCATGTAAATTTATAAAAAATTTTTTAGGCATAATAATCAAGAACATGAAGTGATAGCTGCTCTTGCTGCAGGAAGTAGAGGTTCTAACAGTCGTCATCAAAGTCCTCATCCAAGTTCTCCAAAAATGAAATTACGTTATTTGAAGCTGGTATTTCCAGAAGCTGATGAGGCAGTTTTGTTTGATGTTCTTCATAAGTAAGATTTTGTTTTTGAATAAATTTAATTAGTTAAATATACAGATATAATACTTTAATATAACTGAATACAGTTGTCTTCCTTATTCAACATTTGGTTATCTAAATATATGATATATTGTTTAGTGATATGCTGCATCTATGGTCTGATTTTCCAATTCCTGTTATTGCTTTATTTGACAGTGCATAACTTACTGTGGGGGATAGTTTTATTTATTTATCTACATGTTGTACCTACTATGCATTTTATTTTTCTAGCTGCATTTTTTTTACTTTAATTAATAGAATTTTTTGTTTATCAGTGAACAAAGAACATAATAAGTGAAAAGAGAAAATGATTTTCTACCTGAATAATAATTAAGAATAATCAGATACAAAGCTTATTTTATATTTATTCAGTAGAATCTACTTATTTTAAATACTCTCAGCTATACTGATAAAAATAACTGAATGATAGTATTAAGCAGGGTAAGTTAGTGGAAATTCTTATTTTATGAAAAAAAGGTCAGAATTGTCATGGTATATTCCAGAACATAAAAGTTACTTAAAAGGCAACTCTTTTGAAGGATTTTAATTTAATTTTGTTTGTTAAATGAAAGGAAGTTGTCCTCTGTCACCTTTGACAGTCATCTTTTTAATCATGTATAAAGGTAAAATCTCTACTTGCATAGAATGAGTGTCAAAAAACTGATTGGTGTCATTCTAATATAAACAAAATACATTCTTATGCAAATGTATTCAAAATGATTTTAAACTAATTTCATAAGAAAAGTATTATGAATATGTAAATATAAAATATGATTTTGAAGGAAATATGGTATACTAATAACTTTAAAACAAACTAGTTTAACTATATCATTAGTTACCAAATCAATCATTCATTTACTTTAAAAAAATTTAAGCTTTTAATATATTTATGTTGAAAAGCAAAAAGGAAGAAAAGGGGGAAAATATTTTAATCTATATATATAAAAATGAATGTATGTCTGTCTGTGTATGTGTATAAAAAACTATTTACAAAATACAATGATTAATTTAAAAAATTACAAATCTAAAAACTTACATAGATGTAATTTATAACAAATGTAGTAATAGGATGATGTGGTAATAGAACTGAAATTTCTATTACTGGAATTCTTATGTTAGAACAAAATTCAGATATTGTAATAGAATAAATTTTTGAAATTATAAACATGTACTGTACAGTAGCATATTTGTTAAATTTCAAGTAAAAAAGAATATAAAATAATTTTAAGTTTTGTATAAAATTAAGTGATTCTTGCCAAAATAACCAATTTAAAAATAAAAATAATTAAATAAAAGTAATAAATGTTTATTAAGTAAATTTCTATAAAATGTTAATACATAGTTACTTGTTTACTTAACAAAGTATAAGTTCATTCAAATTTTTTTCCTTTTATAGGAAAAAAAATTGAATGAACTTAATGCATAGACTATATCCAAACATTTTAAATTTTATCTATATATTGCATATTAAAGATATTACAATATTGACTTAAAATATAATATATATACATACAACATACTCAATTCTGACATGCCCTTTTTTACCCATTTTTCTTGTATTAAGTAGAAGTACACATTAGAATCAACAGTATCTTATATTCACAATACAAAATAATTCATTAGTTCATCATATGGTATGTTATTCCCTGGTAATAGACATTTTTGGCTATACTCACAATGTTCATTAGTTTAAATAAGCTTTGCTGGTAATGGCTGTTTAATTAAAACTCTNCAGACGAAAAAACAAAAAATATCGTGTATCCACGAGCACTCCAATAAATAAATAGAATTGAAACAACACTTTGAAATGTTTTCCTGATGAAAACGAATAATAATAATAAGTTTCAATAAAAATGATAAAATGAAAATTTAATTTTATCATTACGAGTTTGCTTGAATTTCGTTTCTTCTGAGATCGCAGCAATGCGCGACGGGTAAGCTAGTATTGAATATAAGAAGTTGGTCTCACTGTCCCTATTAAATGGAATTTTAGTTTTCAATTCTTCTTTGGACATATTTCTACACTATAAATTGATTATTAAGCAAGTTTTTAAAATTTTAAAATATACATATGCTAAACTATACATACATACATACATACATACATACATACATACCTGCTTAACATTTTAATTTATGTTGGCAAATATTTTTCCATGTTGAGTAAAAGTCTAAATTTATAATCATTAGTTTTTGTTTAAAGTGAGAGATTTTAATTTTTCATAAAAATATTATTATATATTTTGTAATTAGCTGTGATAATAATGCCCAAGAAGCCAGCAATCGTTTAATTGCAATGGGTTATAATAAGAGAGATACACCAATCACTCGTCCCAATAGTGGACAAAAGCCAAATCAACAACAATCACGTCCACCTTCAGATATCCAACGTCCTACTCTTACTCAAGAACGATCAATCACTGTGACACCTCCAAGTGCTGCTGATAAAAATAAATGTATGTATATATTTCAAATTATACATTAGTTACTTTATATTGTAAAATTATTTAAATATGAAATAAAAATTTTATATAATTATAAATTTTAANTATTTATAAACACTTTGTTATTAATAATCCTATTCAGAAATGTTTGGAATATTTTATGAATAGATTGCTACAAAATTTGAGGATATACACTCTAGAATAAATATAAAGTATTTATATTAAAAAGTGAATTCCAATTTTAATCAGTTAGGGAAAAGTAGTATAGCAAAACATAAAAAATGCATTTTTCATCAATATTTTTTTTGTTTTTTTAACTCTGCCCTGTGAGCACTAAGAGGACTTTTTTAGAAAGCCCATTATGGGTTTGGTCAGGTCCACATATATGGATGGCTAGATGGTGAGGGACAGGGTCCAATATATTTGGATAGACCACCCCCTGAAAAATTTCTGGGGTTTTTTTGACCTGTCTGGATGATGATTTTCATAGTGGTAAGCTGCCACTTTAACTGCTTGACCATCCAGCTGTTCTCCTATATCTTAGCTTATCATACTAACAAGGAGAACCTACGACTTTGGGGTAATGGATTTTGATGATCTTTGGTGTAGAGGTAGTACACCATGTGAGTATACCACTTGTAAAATACTAGAGTGCAATAGTCAAATATAATCAAGAAAAACGAACTTAAAGTTTTCTTTAGCACTTTATATATAAGTTATGCATGCTTCTGCTTGAGCATCCTGTGGCTGAGTAGTAATGATCCTGGCTCATATGCTTGAGTGCTCGGATTTGATTCTCTTGTGTATACTTTTCCTTTTTTTTATTCATAAATACTTATAATGTATTTATTTATTTACTCATTCATTTATTTCTTATTATTTATTGATTTTTTTGTATTTTTATTATTATTTATTTATTTTAATTTAATTTCTACTATTCCAAGTCTAATATTTTTATACTTTNACATATCATCTATGCCTCATCAACGACCCCTCTCACCTCCTCCGCTCAACCTGACAAAAAGAATCCCAACCCCTTGGGATTGAAATTCGTAAACAAGCCATCCCCTGACAAGTGGGCAGTTTTCACCAAACTGTTGCCGACAAAAAGAGGTACGACGTCGTCCTACCTCCGGCGTCCACATTATCATATAAAAAGTTACAGTTTGTATTCAGGTTTTTAACATTAACGTACCTATAACATTACAGTATTATACTTTCTTATTAAAGTTTGCAATACAACTATGTCTTTGATTATGTCTAAATTATTTTCAGAAAGTAAACTCTCATAATAGACTACTGTTGTGAACTGTTAAAATAAAAAATAAATGAAGAAAAAACTGTTGATGATAACTCTTTATACAGTGATGTATTGAAGCAGTGGCTAAAAGATGGCTTTTAGCCACTGCTTCAATACATCACTGTATAAAGAGTTATCATCAACAGTTTTTTATTCATTTATTTTTTATTTTAACAGTTCACAACAGTAGTCTATTATGAGAGTTTACTTTCTGAAAATAATTTAGACATAATCAAAGACATAGTTGTATTGCAAACTTTAATAAGAAAGTATAATACTGTAATGTTATAGGTACGTTAATGTTAAAAACCTGAATACAAACTGTAACTTTTTATATGATAATGTGGACGCCGGAGGTAGGACGACGTCGTACCTCTTTTTGTCGGCAACAGTTTGGTGAAAACTGCCCACTTGTCAGGGGATGGCTTGTTTACGAATTTCAATCCCAAGGGGTTGGGATTCTTTTTGTCAGGTTGAGCGGAGGAGGTGAGAGGGGTCGTTGATGAGGCATAGGTGATATGTGAGTAAATGACATCATTTAACAATGGAAATAATGATTTATTAGATTAATGAAAATTAATGATTACAACCTCTAACATCAAGAGAAATTTACTTGGTTCACCAGCTCCTAGCTCGCGGAGAGAGAGTTCACATTAAATGCTCCATACCTCTAGTATACTTCCACGTAGAGGAGAAAAATATTGCCCTTTTTCTTGTGATTGATGCACAAAGTTATAAAATCCTCCGAGACTTAATCATTTCCGACCAGCTGTAGATGAGAGACTCCCCTGAGATGGGGGAAAGAAGTTGCTTTTATAGCTTCAGGCTGGGGAAATTAGTCATGTGATTAACTATTGTGGGAGGTAAGGTTGGTCTTGCAGGTATGGAGGTTAAAGTTGTTCCCGGGACCAAAACAAAATGACGAAATTGGACATTAACTGTAAACTTTTTGTCGTGTAGGAGAATAATGCCATTGTTCAAGGATCAAATGCTTACATTAAAGAGGAGAGTTATAAGTTTTTATCAATATTTGATTCCTTTTTTCCGACAATGGTATTTTAATGAGGAGACAACAAATTTATTGCAAATATGTCGAAAGTTTAGGTGGAAAATGAAAAATTTTAGGTTTACACTTAGGTCGGATCTCACAATAAGCTAACTTTTCGTCTTCATCATTTACATTTACAGCACTGTAAATGGCAACATTACATTTTTTCCTAGTGGACAAAATTAAAGTTACTGTAATTTTAATAAATCCAAAGCAATATGTGATCATACAGGCATATATCCCACAAAAGACTGCTAGAATAGAAATAAAATATTTACCTCATCTGTACTAATATACATCCCACATCTCCAAAATAGTCATTTAAAATATGAAATTTATTGGTATAATTTACTGGTGGAGATGATATCATCTCAAATATCACATTTTCCCCTTCATTTTATTTCATTTATTGTAACAGTTCATTACAGATATAATTATAAAATCAATGGAAATGGATAAAATGAATATTTGAGACACTCTTGAAAGCTGCATAAATGTCAAAAATACAAATGAATGCTAAAAGCCCAAATTTTTTATTGTTTTGCTTCATTTCTATTTTATTTATTAAATAATAAAAAATGCTAAAATAACTTTGAAATTCTTAAATAGAAAAAATAATTTAATCATATTAAAATTTAGACAGCCTGCAGCTCAATCTGAAACATCTGTTCAACCTGTAGATAAAGAATCAACTGTAGAAAATCCAACAGATCCTGCACCACCGGTACCTCCAAGAAGTAGACATGCATCATCATCCCAGGAAACAACAGAAATATCTTCACAACCTTCAATAGTTGAACAGTTTTTAAAAGGTAAATTTTTAAAAATTATATTTCGAAATAAACATTTTTATTCTTTTTCATTTTAGAAATTTTGGTTTCTGTTTTTAAACATTAATTTATTGTTTATCATAGATAATGCTCAAGAAGAATCTGCTGGAAAAACTTCTGTGTAAGTATTAAAATTGGAAAGTTTTATGATTTTAAATCATTACAAGTATAATAATTTAATTTTTGAATATAGTTATTTAGCAATGATAATTTTAATTCAATCATATGTTTATATTTAATTAAAAAGTGTAGAAAAATAATTAATAACATTTTAAAATTGCCTAATAGCAGTGGAAGGAATGGTATATTGTCATATTTTAAAGGTACTTATTTATTAGTTATAATTAGGCTTACCACAATATTTTTTTTCTCAAACCGGGACAATTTCGAGAAAATACTTGCAACAGAAAAGGTTGGCAATGATTGCTTTATGGTTGCTGTGCCAAAGTAAAGCAACATAATGGCTCAGTGTATTAGTTTTATTTTGAAAAGTGAGATTTATGATTCATTTTTAAGTTTCAAGAAAAAATACTATATTTGGATGTCAGAAAACTGAATCCAAACTAACCATTTTTATAAATTATAGAAATAAATTAATGGATTTATTTTTATGAATTACTAGCTGTTACCCACAACTTTGCCTGTGCAGATTTTGCAAGAAAATGCCATTTATATTCAGTATTTCAATAACCATAGTAATTGTTATACAGTAGAGCGTCGTTTATCCAAAAGGCGGNCTGTTACCCACAACTTTGCCTGTGCAGATTTTGCAAGAAAATGCCATTTATATTCAGTATTTCAATAACCATAGTAATTGTTATACAGTAGAGCGTCGTTTATCCAAAAGGCGGTTATCCAAAACGTCGTTTATCCGAAAGAATTCTAGTCAGCAAATTTTAATTTTTGCTAGTGCTGTGGTGCTGCAATCTTTGGCTATGTCTTGGGCTACTCCAATATTTTTTGTTGATGTGTGTGTTTTAGCTGGCAGCACTGGCACTTTTGTGTGGTATTTTTCTGAGGACTGTGTGTCATGCTGAATTGAATGTTTTTGATACTAGATAACTTCTAAAGTATAAATTTTTTTGTTTTTATATTTGTCAATATATTTATTTTGTTTGTAAAAAATAAAAAAATAATTTTTAACGATACAATACCACGATTATTATTTTAAAAAGTTAACATCGACGAAAATTTGATGCAAAGCGACACGCAACGGAGAAAAATTTCAACACGGGATAGGTTAATGTATTTTTCGTACATAATCGGTTATCCGAAAAATAAGTTATCCGAACAACCCCAGTCCCTAATTGATTCGGATAAACGACGCTCTACTGTATAACACCTTCTGCTGAGAATGATGAGAATTGCCAGAATCAAATGAACTGTTTTTAATTTGATTAATTTTCTGGAACGTTTACAATTGTTCTATAATCAAACCAATACGCAATAACAAATTCAAATTTAAAATGGTTCGAACATTTGGTTAAAAAATCAAAATAGATAAAAATATTTATAACAATGTCTGAAATGTTATCAATTTAAAACACCTAAGTACTCAATGAAAACTAAACGTAGTTGAAAACAAAAAATTGCATCTAAAATAGTACAGTAGAATCCGTTCTTCAGGTTAAGTCTTGATCCTTTCTCTCTACCCCATTTTTTTGGAATTTTGAAAAAAATCCCTTCTTAGTGTGTGTTTTCATGACGTACCCTAACTGTGTACAAAATTTCACCTCTAGGTTCAGTGGTTTGCTCTGGGTGATGATGAATCAATTACTCAGTCAATCATTCATTCAGTCAGTCAGGACAAGTAATTTTATATATTTAGATTATTATTATTATTATTGTTGTGTTTAGTGAGTTATACTCGGTTCACACCGGTGGCTGTATACTATGCCAGACCAAAGTCAAGGCATAGCAACCAAAACAAAACTAAAATTAAATAAGTGTGTCAGTGTGTGTGTCTGTATTCAGGAATTTCCTAACAATGTGGCACGTATTCAATATAGTGGCCTTCTGTAGTGTGATGTATGTATTTCTACTCCATTGTAATGTTCCCAGGCTTTTGTGTAGTGTGTGTGGTATCACACCTGTACAGGAGAGAACAACAGGTACAATAAGCACCCTATCCATCCTCCACAGATGCCTTATTTCCTGGGCGAGTTCTGTGTACTTGCTAATTTTTTCAGTGCATGTGTTTTGTACATTGTGAGTGTTTGGAATGGCTATGTCTATAATGTATGTGATTTTATTGTGTTTGTCAATGAGTGTGATGTCTGGTCTGTTGTGGTAAATTGTTTTATCTGTGATTATGGCTCTGTCGTAATACATTTTGTGCGTGTTATTTTCCAATACTGTCTGTGGAATATACTTGTAGTATGGTTCGTGGATGTCTGCCAATTTGTGTTTCTTTGCAAGCTCTTGGTGTATTATATTTGCTACTTGATTGTGTCTATGTAAGTAATCTGTCTGTGCCAAGAGCTTGCAACCAGAAGTGATGTGTTGTATAGTTTCTGGCATGATGTGACATTTTCTGCATGTGTCATTTGTGAGTGTTGTATCTTTGAGTATGTGTTTTCTGTAGTTTTTAGTATTTATGACCTGATCCTGTATGGCAATCATGAATCCTTCCGTCTCCCCAAAGAGGCATCCCCGATCTAACCAGCTGTTTGACGCAGTTTTGTCAACAAAATCCTGGGCCAGGTCGTAAGGATGCCTGCCATGGAGAGCCTTTTGAGCCCATGATTGCTTAATGTTGTCTATGCTTTTTATATGTTGTGTCATGTCTGTATGTTGTGAGTGTAAGTTTAATGGTGTGTTATTTGAGTCTGCTAGAGTTACTGCTTTATGTAACTGTGATGTTTCTTGTTTCTTGTAGAAAAACTCTCGCAGTGACTGTATTTGTTTGTAGTGAAGGTTAACTATGTCAATCAGGCCACGTCCGCCTTCTTTACGTGGAAGGGTTAATCTTTCTGTGGCGGATTTAGGATGATGTTGTTTATGCTTAGTAAGTGTTGTTCTTGTTTTCCTTTGGAGTTGCTCGAGATCTGTGTGAGTCCAATGTATAACTCCAAAAGAGTATGTGAGTACTGGGATGACATATGTGTTTATTGCTTTAACTGTGTGTTTTGCATTTAACTGTGTTCTAAGTATAGCGTTTAACCTACTTTGGTATTCTTTAATTAATCGTTGCTTTATTTGTGTATGTTCTGTTAGTTTGGCCTGTTGGAATCCTAAGTACTTGTAGAACTCGCCCTCTTCCATGGATTCAATAACGTCTCCATTTCCAAGTGCAAAATCTTCTTTCTTCAGGATTCCTTTTTCTATGTGAAGTTTTTTGCATTTGTCTAGGCCAAACTCCATTTGTATGTCCTTAGTGTATGAATGTGTGATTTGTAGGAGTTGATGAAGTTGTTTTTGTGTGGATGCATAAAGTTTTATGTCGTCCATGTACATGAGATGTGACAGTGTAAACTGTGTTGTTTTTTCATGTCTGATATTGTAGCCATATTGCGTGTTGTTTAACATGTTGGATAATGGATTCAGGGCTAGGCAGAACCAGAGAGGACTCAAGGAATCTCCTTGAAAAATTCCTCGCCTAATGAATATTTCGTTTGTTTGTATGGAAGTGTTACTAACCCTGAGATGTAGTGTTGTTCTCCAGTGCTGCATAGTGTTTTCGAAGAATGCAATGAGTGATGGATGTATTTTGTACATGTGTAGAATATGTAGCAGCCAACTGTGTGGAACACTGTCGAATGCTTTTCTGTAGTCTATATATGCCATGTGTATGTTTCTGTGTTGTTTGTGTGCTTGCCGTAGAATGACTGAATCTATGAGTAACTGTTCTTTGCATCCCCTGTGATTTCTACGGCAACCTTTTTGTTGTTCTGTAAGAATGTCGTGTTCTTCAACATGTTTGTATATTTTGTTTGTGATACAGGATGTCAATAATTTGTAGAGTGTTGGAAGACATGTAATTGGTCTGTATTGTGTGGGGTCTGTGGTGTTGTTGTTTTTAGGTTTCATGTAGGTGATGCCCTGAGTAAGAAATTTTGGCATGTCTTGTGGATTGATGATGATGTGTGTTAGATGTTTAGCTAGTTCCTGGTGCAGTGATGTAAACTTTTTGTACCAGAAATTGTGAATGTTGTCTACACCAGGTGTCTTCCAGTTGTGTGTTCTGTTAACAGCGTAGCGAATGTCGTGTATGTTTATTTCAGCACAGGGCATAGTTGGTATGTTGTGCAAGTTTCTGTTCTCCTCCTCGATCCAGCCTGCATCAGCATTGTGTGTAACAGCATTGGACCAAAGAGAAGACCAATAAGTTGTGAGTTCTTCTTCTGTTGGTGTGCCACTGTGCTGTGTATCAGTGTTTGTTTTGGTACTGATTTGTCTGTAGAAAAGTTTTTCATTGTTTGTGAATAATTTATTTTGTTGTTTTCGTAGTGTACATGTTTTGTATCGTTTGAGTCTACGTGCTTTGGCTGCGAGTTTTTGTTTTAGTGTATCGATGTATTCTGTAATGTGTGTGTTGTGATGTTCATGTTTTGTGTGTGTTTTAATTTTCTTGAAAATGTTTTTGAGTTGTTTCTTTAATTTGGGTGTTATGTTGTTTTTAGTGTATTGTGTCAGCCTGCCTAATTGCTGTCTAATGTCATTTATTTGTGTTTCTATTCTTCTCTGCCAGGCAGGCTTATGATAGAATTGTGTTTTGTGTGTGTCTGTCTGTGAGTGTATTTTCAGTCCATGGTGTGTTACTACTGTGACTGCCCCAGCATAAACTAATGTATGAATGTCTGTAAGTGTAGAAATTGAATGAATGTAGTTTGGTAGTAAGTGAGTGTTTACATAATCTAGTGTTTTTCCTACTGCCTTTGACGTGTTGATTTTTGGTATTCGTGGTCTTTGTGTGGGATCTGTACCAGTATATTTAATGAGTGTTTCCTGAAATATAAGTGAGAGCGTATTAACTAATTCTATGTCTATGTTATCAGTGATGGATGGGGAAGTGCCTGCAGTATCATTAGTGGTACTTGTTGTGTGTGTGCTGTAATCAGTGCTTGTTGCTGGATTATCCTGACAGGTTACGTGATCTTCATTAATGTTAAATGTTTCTGTCTGTTGATGTATTTGATCAGCAACCTGTTGTTTGATAAGTTCAAGTGTTGTTTGTGGGATAAGGTTGTTGTGTATAATTGTTCGTTTTTGATCAACAACCCTTTGTTCGGTGACAGTGAGGTGAGGATATTGTTGTGTGAATCTATGGTGTAGTTGTTGTCTGTATGCTGTCATGTTTGTTTCGAGTCTTGTGATGGTGTAGTAAGTGCGGATGATAAACTCGTTCATTTCTGTTGTCCATTTCATCCGTTGGCGTGGTTTTCCAGCCTTTGTGGTCTGTGGATGCATTGCCACAGAAACACCAAGGCTAGGTTGATTCCTCACATCTGTTGAGGGCATTGCAGTAGCCATGCTTGGGCCGGCGCTGCTTTCGCCACCGGTAACCAAGGGAGACTGGAGCCTATTTTTCGAACGTGAGCCTCTGCCTAACCCACGAACGCGGACCTTGTTAACCCGGGCGACGTCCGAGCCGGTATCACACTTTGATCTGGTTACTACCATAATAATTATCTCCACAGAATGTGGGTGTGTGGTCACTCTTAGCTTCATTTCTCCCCATAGACCTTACTGGCATGGGTGTCCCTACCAGGAGCTTGTGCTCCAGCCTGCATTGCCCTATGGATCAGTAAAATTACTGGGCTCTCCCACCACGACCAGGTGGTGACCACGGGAGAGTTATTATTATTATTATTATTATTAACATCGATAAACATTCCTGTGGGAATGTATATAATTTTGAGGGAAAGTGTATGCATTACAAATTTGTATTATTAATTATAAGCAAATTTGAAGTGAAATAATAATCATATATATATTGCATCTGCAAACTGTTTTTGTCAATAAATGTTACAGGTAATAAGAAAGAGCGATGAATTTGTCTTGAACGATATCCTTATGAATTATTTTTCTGTTGTGTTCTACAAATTTATGTTATATATGTTATTAATATGAATTTTGTTATATGTTGTTCATAATATGAATTTTATAAAGCTTGATGTTTCATCTATGAATGACATTTTGTAAGGATCAAATTTTTCTAGAATCAAATAAGATGTTGCAGTTTGACAAATTTATAATGAATCTAATGAAATAAACACAGTCAATTGAACTTTAGTATAGTCATATTGTAAAGAGACATATTGTGGCTGTTTGCCATATCTTTTGTATAATATATAGTATTTTATCATATTTTCATTTAATTCTTTCACTTTTCTTTATTCTTGCTTTTCTTTTGTTTCATTTTCCAAGAAATTCAGATTGAACCCTTGCTCGATAGGGTGGGGCAGTAAGAACAATAGAAGGAGGGAAGGCCCTGAAAGGAAAACAAAGGCCAGTTAAGCACTTTTTGGGGTAGACACTGAGGAGATCAGACGTGTTGAGAAGAGGCTCTTGGTCATGTTTGGCATACAATAAGAGCATGAGGAAGTAGTGTTTGAGTTAGGAACACACAACGAGACAATTTTTGTGTCTTCAAGACGTCTTCTGAGAGAACAGCCCAAAATCATAGAGAAGTACGGAGAAGTTCTGAGAGAGAGAATATTAACTAAGACAAAGAAAATTGGACCCGATTGATGTGCAAAGGGAACATTCAAGACAGTTGGGTACCCTGTCCTAGATCTCTTCTTCCTTCCTCTATCTGTACATATATCATATTATTTTAGTCATAAGTAGGTTAATATTAGTTTAAGGTTGTGACCCACGCTTTGTGAAATCCCAAACTGTTACGTTTGTTATTTCCAGGAAGTAAGGTTTGTGATGGAGCTGGTTTTATATCACAAAATTCTGTATATACATAGGTGTAAAAGCTTAAATCCGCTGTTTTTTAGTCAGAAAAACACACGTTTTTTTTCTTAGAAAGCAAAAACAAATTTATTCAAAGTAGTTTCCCTCACTAGTGACACATTTGTTCCATCTCTCGGGAAATGTGTGGATACCATGCCGAAAAAATTTCTTTTCTTTCGAGGCAAACCACTCATCAAGCCATTTTCGGACGTCTTCGTAAGAATCAAAGTGCAGCTCAGCAAGCACGTGGCCCATTGATGAAAAGAGGTGATAGTCAGAAGGGGCCAGGTCTGGTGAATAAGTGGGATGGAGTAGCACCTCCCAGTTGATTGTCTTCAAGTAGTTTCGGACCAATGTTGACACATGTGATGGTGCATTGTCGTGAAGGAAAATCAGCTTGTCATGTCTTTGCTGATAATCCGACCTTTTTTCATGCAGAGCACAGTGCAATTTGATCAGTTGTTGGTGGTAACAGTGAGCATTGACAGTTTCACCAGGTTTCAACAGCTCATAGTAGACAATACCCTGCTGATCCCACCAAATGCACAGCATTGTCTTCCGTCCAAAGCGATTTGGCCTTGGGAAAGATGTTGATGGTTTGCCTGGATCAACCCACGATTTCTTGCATTTAGGATTCTCAAAATATATCCATTTCTCATTGCCAGTTACAATCCGATGCAGAAACGACTTTCTTTTTTGTCTGGCGAGCAAGATTTCGCATGTGTTTTGGCGTCGCTCCATCTGCCTATCGTTCAATTCATGCAGCACCCATTTTCCGATCTTCTGAATCTTTCCCATGGCACGTAAACGCATGGAAATGGCTGGTTGAGTAACACCCAATTGCTCAGCAAGCATTTTTTGCGATTGGGTATCATCCTCATCCAAAAGAGCCTGCAGTTGATGGTCCTCAACCTTCCTGGGCCAATTTTCATGCTTCTTGTCGCTCAGGTAAAAATTTCCATCTTTGAACTGACAAAACCAATCTCTGCACGTGGTTTCCGATAAAGCTCTGTCTCCATAAGCTTCCACAAGCATTCGATGTGCTTCGGCAGTCGATTTCTTCAAATTAATTAAAGCAGAAAAGCAAAGCTTGCCGCATATGCTCTTTTTCTGGCACAAAAGTAGACATGATTACAAAAAAAAATATATGTTGTTGTATGAAATATCTGATGATGTGCACTGATTAATGTTGACAGACGTCAAAATCATCAAAAAACAATATGGCGTCGTCATGGTAACTTAATATGCTCACTTACGCCATCTATTAGCAAACAGCGGATTTAAGCTTATACACCTGGTAATTGTATTGCGAGAAATGGCAATTACAAGGGACTTGTCTTGGAGTTGGAACCTGCTAAAATCTTGTTCAAACACTAAATAAAGTTTTTCTATGTTTTTGAAAATTATGCCTCGTGTATTTCTCATTTCAATACGAACAATACCACAATATGACAAAAACAATAATAATAAACAAACTTTCATTCATTTTCATTATTTTCAACTGTCAGCAAATTAATTATGAATATGTGTGTTATTTTTCACAGTAAATTTTTTTGTTTTTCTGTGCTGTGAGCTTGGAACCTGTTATGTGCCATTAAAAATTGCCAATATGCCAATCCTCATTAGATTATCCTGTTATGATATATGAAAATTGGAATTTAACTATAGATTTAAATTCAGTTATTTAAATTCATATCAGGATTACATATAATAAATTCCTAAATAATGAGCTTTATCCTTCATGATGCTAAGATTTAAATAAACATATAAAACTTAGATTTCACTAATGATCTCATAAACTTCAAGCTGTTCATCCAGTATTAATGATAAAGGCCAGTGCCGTAACTAGACAGGTGCAACAGGTGCACCACTCGCACAGGGCCCACTTGGAAGGGGGCCCAAAATGCATGTATTTGTTTTATTATTTTTCCAAATCTAATTAATTAAGAGGCCTAAATGCAAATTTTTGCACAGGGCACAGGAATGGCTAGTTATGGCACTGATAAAGGCTTTTGTCAAAATATTAACAGGTCACAGGAAAAAAGACAGAAAAAAGTATGTACTGAAAGTACATATGTGTAAGAATTGCAAAATTTGGGTGTAGATTAAATTTTAATTAACATACCTAATATTAAATCAAAAATTTTGTTTTATTTTTTAAAATTTTTTAATGAATAAAGTATATATTTTTAAAATTTAATTCCAGTGATGTAGCAGTTTCTTGTCAAAAGAGTGACAGACATGAGAGACCAAAGTTTAAGAAAGAAGTAATGAAGTAAGATTTAATACACTTATGTATAACTTTTATTTTTAGACAACAAATCAGCTTTTTTGAACTTTATACTACTGTAAAGTATTTACAATAACCAGACATGTTTTCAATTTAAACTTTAAAAAATAAAATTTGGACTTGTCATTACATTGATATAAATATTGCAATATGATAAAACTTTAAATTGCAAAACTGAATAGAAAATAATTGTACTTATTAACTATTGTAAATATATTTTGTATAAATTTAAATTGATATATCAATTTATGAATTCTTTTAAATTAAAATATCCATTTATTTTAGAGTTTCCAAAGCTACCAGTACACATGAAGATCAAGAACCAATCTCTGTTTACAGGACCCGTCCAAAAGGTGCTGATTCCAGTTTAAGAAAAGGACCATGTCATGATCTCTTATTGTAAGTTTAGATTTTTTAAAATTAGTATCTAAAAACGTATCTTTAAAAATATCACCTATTATTTTTGTATAAATAACTTTGAAAATTATTTTGTTTATTGAAATTAATTCTAAAAATATTTGTTAATTAAGTAAGTAAGTGACAACATTTCAACATTTTAACTATTTCAATAAAATAAAATGAATTTTAAATAGATATATTAAAAACATTTATTTTTCAAGTATTTTTTTACCATATTCAATTACAACTTATTCAGAAATATGATACTTTCAATTATGCCATCTATTTCTTTAGTTAAAAAATATTTTAGAATGTTTTTAAAGCATTCTGAAATATTCTTTAAATTGAAGTTTTAGTATTACAAATAAATTTTTGAAAGAAAGAGAAACCAAATAGTATAAAATAAATTTAAAAAATAATACTTTTAATACCAGTAAAAAAAAACAGAGTGAAATTGAAGTTGTGTATAGATGATGATTTTACATGAATAAAATGTTATTTACTTAAAATGTAAAGTAACAAAAATGAAATATAGTTGAACTTTCTCTCTTGAATCTCACAGAAATGAGAAAAAAATTTGAGATAGACAGGTTTCAAGATATAAAAGTTCCTATACAGTAAACAGTAATAGGTTTGATTGGAGTTCAGTATTTTATTAATACAGTAGCAAGTACTGTACAGTATATACTTGTATTAGGTATAAATAAAACATTTTTGACATACCTTAACAGAAATAGTTTGTCAACAGTTTCTGATGCCTGACTCTCTTCAACCAATACAATGCTAGTCAAACTCATAGCCAATCAGAGAAAGGCATTGTTAATTGCAACTATGTAATGTATTGGAAGCAGGGGCGTGCCGTGACATTTGACTATAGGGAAGCTGTGTTTCTGTAAGAAGCCGACATCCAGGGGCAATCAGTCAATTGCGCGTCAGTGATGGTCTAGGGTCCATTCGTATCGTTTATTCGATAAGCCAGTAAAAATCGTAGACTTCTCTAAATGCATTTTTAATATCACAATTACATTCCGAATCGCTAGCCACGATATAAGGGCTACAATTAAAAATAAAATAATAAAAACTTACTCGGTGAAATAAAATATGTGGTGGATGTACCGGTACATACAAAATATTCTTCAATTATATGAATATACTTTAAAGAAAATTATAATTAAATATAGCTTTGCAAAGAAACGTACATAAAAATATAAAATATTCTTTACTTTTTAAATCTTAAAACAATGCACTTAGTCAAGTAGCTCCCTACGAGTGGCTAATGAATGGAATCGAAGACGGTTGCAGAGCGTGCATGCACGCACTGCCAAATCCCCAGGGTGCCGATACCGGTCAATTCAAATACCTCTTTTGTCGCATCATTAGTATATCTGAAAGGACGCGACAGGGCTGTTGTAGATTTTAAACGTTTCTCACCATAGCTGTAAAAATCTAAATA